TTCATGTTCAAATCCATAAAAGTCTTTTTGAGAACTCACAGGTGAAGTCCATCCTTGGGGCAAGTTCTTCGCTTCCTCCATTCTTCCAATGGTTGCTGAGTTCTCTAATTCAAATTCTCCCGATCTAATGGGTAAAAAGGAGAATATGTCTTATGTTTTTTGCTCTATCTAAAATTTATAATCAAGGTACGTTGGCTATACTTAACACGAACTCGATTTTAACTTAAGCATCAATGTACATAGGCTAATAATACATTAATTCCTCTATTTTACAGATTCAGTCAAATTTATTTAAAGTATGTTTTGGAGTGATTTAATTATTACTAATGTCAAAATCACTCTCATTTTACAGTGGCATGTTTCGCAATAATTCTCAAGTGATTTTGAAAGGTGATTCCTGATCAATCACTTGGAACGAGTGATTCCAAGTGATTTAAAGAAATTAGTTTTCAAAATGGTTATTGTTTTAAATTTCAAATTTGTCTTTTTTCATCTCATTTTCACCTTAAATTTTAAATTTATTTTTTATTTCTAAAATTTTTCTCACCCTTTAACTTTATTTATCTTTAATTTGGTTTATTTTCTCTAATTTATTTTCTCCAAAATTTTTGTAATATCTCTATAAATTTTTAGTTGTCATCTCTTTAGTTTAATTATTTTTCTAAATAAAATTTTTGTCTCTCACAAGATTTTTGTTCCTCAACAACTCTTATCTCTCTAAAATTTTTGTCAAATTCTTTAAATTTCAAACATTAAATTATTACTTATTCAAAACCACATTAATTATATAAAAATCACTTTGAAAAAGTGTATAATTAACCAAATGTTAAAACAACTCTATAAGAATGAGTTTAACAAAATCAATTATCATGAAATCTATTTTACTAAAATCACTCATTTTGAGATCATTCCTAGATGGATTTTTATAAGGTTATAATTTCGAGGTAAAATTTATATCTCAACAATAATCACAGAGGATCGTAGATGCAGCATTCATTCATCAAAGTTTAGTTTAAACTCAATTTGTTAAAATGATTCAAAGGTTATAGGAAAATAAACTAGCTCAGGTTTGAACTTTGAACACATTTCAAAAAGAGTTGGTTTTTTTTTCCCCTTTTTAAATCCTAGTTTATAAAAAATGGAAAAGTATTATGAAAGCAAATTACAACCGAACCGGTGTGGACTGTGGGGGGAAGAAATGGAAATAAATAAAGTAGAGGGGCCAAAAGGAAAATTGCAGACGTCAATATCGGGTCGGGGGAGAAAGAGGACAGAGTCGTCATGTTTGCATACATACAATGGGCGGTTTGGTCGGTCGCATTGTCGCCGCCACTTTGAGACCAAAACCCAAATTGACCATTCTGACCTCCTTCCTCTCTTTAATTTCAAACAACCAAAAACACTTACTTTATATTTTATTGTTGAGTTAAATTACAAGTTTGGCCTCTAAGTTTTTAACGTTTGTCTAATACGTAATAAGTATCTAAGGTTGTGTTTGGTTGGTGATCAAATATGAAAACTAGGGATTCAACGAAAATAGGTGAAAACTTTTCAGTATTTTGAGAGATGTATTTGATAGTAGATTTGAAAATTAAATCTCAATTTAAAAAATTGTTCAATGTATTTAGTGGTATATTTGTATACTAGTTGTAGTTGCCAACTAAATATTTACTAATATCAATTAATTTATTAACATATATATTTTAAATTTTGTAGAATTATTATTCTACAATATTATATATTTTTATAATATATTATATTTTAATTTTTTTAGTTTTAACGAAAATGAAATGAGTTTATAACATTATATATCATATAATATATTTATCAAAGTTTTTATCTTTTTTAATGTAATTATACAAATATAGAAGTATTCTTTTTAGAATTTTCACTGATGAATCACATAATCTATAAATAGTTTTTGAAAACAAATAAATTTGGTATCCGAAAATACAAAAGAATTACTAATACATTCCCTCTTAATTAACCGTAGCTCCTTTGAATCACTGAGTCATCCATAAAGATTAGATTTGTATTATAGATTAAAAGACAGTGGGCTAAGATACATCCTATATGTTCTACTAAAATGTTAACTAATAATCAATAATATTTAGAAATTAGATCAAATATACAATAATTTTTTAAATATCTACTCCACGTGATTATTAAGTTAATCCAAGAAAGAGACAAAGAATAAAAGAATACAAAATAAAAATGAAAGCACACATGGAATCATTTTTTAAAATTATTTCTCTTAAATTTTAGCTTTAAATTCTATTTTATTTCTAACATTTTTTTTTTATTCATTCTGTTCTCCATAGTTAATTTTTCATTTCGGTATATATATAAAAATTTTGTCTATTTTGAACTTTATGCTTTTAGCATGTTTATTTTGGTAGCAAAAAGACCATTTTGACCCTTCTATTTTCTATTTTCTTCTTATAATTTTTAAAGAATTTTTTGTTATATATAAAATTTGTGTTAGAATTTTGCAAATAAAATCAATATGGTTGTTTTGTCCAAGTATAAAGAACAAAACAAAAGTTCTTAAGGGATGGAATGTTAGTTAGACTTTCAATGACAGGTGTTTTATAATGTTTCGTTGAAAGTCACAGTTAGTAACATTTTAAAAAGGCGTCAGTAAAACTCCATATTTAGAGCCCTTTTTTTTCACCAATAAATATTTGTCGTTGAAAGTCCATTTTCTTGTAGGGAAAGTAGAAAGTACAATGGTTAAAGTAGACGTTCTGAAAAATGTAAAGATAATAAAGACTAAAGCTGAAAAGTACGCAAACTAAAATAGTATTTAAACAGATGTTCGATATGCAATTAGGATTCTATTTCTTGTTTTAAGTGGATTAAATGAATATATATGATTGCTAGATCTGCTTTTAAAAACCATTTGATCCAATGGTAGAGATTTTGAAAATAATATATATATATATATATATTTATTTATTTATTGTATTTTCAAATTTTAAATTTTAAATTTGAAAATTTTAAGTGTTAGATTATACTGAAAAAAGTATAAAACTTTGATAATATTCGTAATACACGTTCATGTTCAAATGATTTAAGGAGATTGATGAACCTTTGTAACAATTGTAACTTGCTTGACCGGAAACAACGTATCACCCACGTGATGACATCTTGGTCAGCACTAAGGAGAACAAAAGTTATTTCAGTATTCGTTACAATCAGGAAAAAAAAATTCAACACTGACACTGGTTCATTGTTACTAGAAGGTACTCTGACTCCTAGAAAAATCATGTATATTATAAACTCATTTATTTTCGTTAAAAGTAACCTAGGTCAATATATTATAAATTATATAATATTGAAAATAATTATCATACATAATTTATAACCTCGGTAAATAAATTAATTAATAGTATTTTTGATTTAACTACTACCATTATTCTTATTATTTATAATACTCTGAACAATTTTTAAATTGAAATCTAATTTCTCTGCCAAACATTTACTAAAAAATGAACTTAAAACAATAAAGTACAATTATATAATTTTACGAATACATTATTTTCAAATTTCTATCAAACATACCCTAAACGATTTTTTTCAATATAATTATTTCTTTCGACTTAAATAGTCCCTACCTTAGCTAAAAATTGTCTCCATGAGTTATAACTCCCAACTCTCTCTGTTTT